TGTTTCATTTTCCCGGAGGTGAAAGTCGGGGTTAGTTTAGTTCGCAGATTTCGCCACTTTTGCCCCCCGATTGCGAACAAATGGGCACTAAGAGGATCGTCTTTCTCGTTGTAGTAAAATCCACGATCGGTGAAATAATCGAAATCTTTCGTCATGATATTTTTCAAATAGTCCAAGTCGATGACGAGGTAATTGGGTCTACAAATGGAGTAGAGGCCTCCGTGTTTCCACCCTTGAGATTTCATTTCGTCGTAGAATTTTTTAAAACGCACAGCACCGTTTTCCTTTTGCCCGAAAATGTTAAAATGACCGAAGGGGATTGTAGGAGGGAGGAAAGGGACGTTTTTTCGCCCCCAGTACTGGTAGCACCATTTGAAGTAAGCATAGAGTATGGCTAAGAATGCTACGAAGATGGCCACCAGGTCAAAAAACATTTCTGTGTAAAGCAAAATTTTATTTCAAGCTACATAATAATGATTTACAAACCCGGTTAGTGATGCACAAGACCGTTTTTGTTGACGGTTTCCATGGCACTAGGATATCAAGGATTAGGAGATGATATAAGTGTAGGTCAAAGAGTTTGTTATTATTTCATTAAGCAATTTTATTGGTTTTGATTAAATAAAAGCTTATTTGGCGTTGGTATGCAACCGTTAAAATAACTATGTGTTTAGTAGCACCTTAAAATTAAAACCAAAAACTTGAAACATGTTAAGAAATAGCTTTCGAAAGCTTTGTCTTCAAACAATGTTACTTTATAAAATTTTTATCTACAAAAATAAATTGGAATTTCGTTTTTTTCTTTTTTGAGTTATTTTTTATTGTACTTTACTGATTTTTTAATCTGTTGAAACAAAATTTTGTCATAAAATAAACAAAACGTTTTTTAACGCTTAAAAAAGCTATTATTATTTTGGGCTTTGCGAAATTTATTTTCTAAAGAACTGAATTTTATTTTCATAAACGCTTGGATAAGACGTAAACTACACTAGTTTTAATTTTATCGATTTGTTTTTGACAAAATTTTGTTTCTGATGTTTGAGGTGCTATAGGATGCTTAAAAAAGACAAAAATTGTACCATTTTCGAGCTAATTTAAAGTCTCCAAAATCTTATAAGTTTTTAAAAATTTGCTTAAACGCTCAAAAAGAAAAAAAATTAATTAATTAAAAAATAATAATTTCTAACTTGATTTCATTTTTGGCTTAATTTAAAATTTTTAAGGTTTTACAAAATTTTTTGAAAACCTTGCTTAACCAAGAAAAAAAGGCAAAGACAACATTATTGAAGAATCAGAATTTTTTTGCTTTTTTGATTTTATGTGCTGTTTTTTTTTGCATTATTTAGGTATTATTATAACTTATTGATTTTTTTGATTTTTTGGTTAGTTCCAGCAAAATTTTGCGATAAAACTAAATTTTTAACAAAAAACGTACTTAAATGCTAAAAAAATCTAAAAGTTTTGTTGTTTTCTACCAAGAGTGGTTATTTTTGAACTGGATTTTGCTCTCAAAAAAAAAAGAATTTTATAGTAACAAACGCATATAAGTTTTTGGCTAAAACTTAAAAAAAAAATATGTCATTGTTGGCTTAATTTAAGATTTTCAAGATTTTACAAAATTTTTTGAAAACCTTGCTTAACCAAACAAAGGCAAAGATAACACTACTAAAGAATCAAATATTTTTTTTTTTTGA